AACTGTGTTGTGACCTAAATAACATGCTGTTGCTATCTGCAGAAAGTATTAAAGCATGAAATCCCGCATTTTTAATGTACAAAAGCATCCTGTATCATAACTACATGTGTGCCGTTTGTAACAAACCAAACCGCGTGAAAATCAGTTGAAAATTCAGTGAGTTATTCTATTTTACTTGTGCATACAGCTCCTTCCTCAATAGAAGTGAATGCACTGTGGAGGCGAAGCGAGACCCATCCAAGACGGCGGCTGGCTAGGACGTCGGCTCCAATAGGCAGCGGCGGTCAATGCGGCGTCTATGGGTACGTCCCAAGTCCCTTAAATTTACTGCTAACCACCTAACCTAGCCACCTTACCTAACTGTTTAGTCCCTCCCACTTAGGAAAACATGCAAGGATTCAGGAGTTAGGAGTAAGGAGCGAGGACTGCTGATAAGAGACATGAGACAGCCTTACTCTGAAGCGTCACGTAAAGCGACGTCCTTTTCTGATGACAGCGGCACAGCTGGATCTGCTGCATAACAGAGCCAGCGTTTGGCGTACATCCCAAGTCACATTACATTCACTGATCAAAGCCGTAACACAGAAATAAGAGACATGAGACGGCCTTAAATGGCGGACCTCGAACGACTTCCGGTTCAAGTAAGGAGTTAGGAGTTAGCAGTATAAAATAAGAGACTTGGGACGTACCCTATGTATATATGTCTATGCATGCTCCCTCCCTCCTCTGTTAAATGGGATCTCACAGGCGCACTACGTCATCAAACCATGTGATGCTTGGTATCACCGGATTCAGGGAGCTCTCGGCTTCCTGAATCCGGCATCGTTTTTCTTTTATTCCTTATTGTTTTCGCACCAGAGCAGCCTAAATACACAAAGTCCAAAATCGCGATGAGTGGTGACAAGCCATGTTATGCCGTTTTTCGTGGGGAAAAGTTAAGATCTCATGCCGAGCCGTCCGGGGAATACATAGCTGGTTTATAAAAGGTGAGATCTCACTCCTACCACTATTTTTGGCTGAGATATACCGCCTAGAAAGTAGGATCATAACTTTAACGTTTCATATGGCTTTATTTGGTGATATTTTATGGTGTTTCTGTCATAAACAACATCAGCTATCATAATCACACCTGATTTCAATAAGGTACGATGTCTGAAGCTGGCTGAGTGTTGTTTGATCACTGACAGTACTGTTTTGAAGTGGAGTGAGTGCTCATTTGGAGCTCCGCCTGGATCTTTTCATGGAAAAAACACTGTAGAATGGTCATACTTTGAGCAATCTTCTTCAAACTTGAAACAAATGTTCATTGATAGTGTGCCTACAGCCCCACAGTGTCATTTTCTCAGATGAAGCCACAGACAGTTATTCATTCTGAAAATCATTTTTTATTTTATTTTAGGCAAAATCTTCATCTTTTTACTGACTTCAGAGGCCCATTACTCTGTCTCTGTATCACCTAGAGTGTTTCTGACACTTTCACAAGAAACTTCAGAGAGTTTGCTTTCTGGCAAGACCTCATGCATGCATGTAGTCAGAGCGGTTCAGAGGCTACAGTCATTTTAATTTGGGTATGTCATTTTAGGCATTTTCGCTAAAAAATGGGGGTGGAGTGCAAGAGGTTAACTATTTCAGGTGAAATCCACACACTGACATGCATGCCTCCAGTACCTAATGATATTGGGTTAGCCACAGCCACAATCAACAGAAGGACTGAGTAAATGTAAGTTTGCTTTTTAATTCATACTAAAATTACAAACCTCCTATAACATAATCTTGTGGTTGGTACACTTTGTGTTTAAAAACCAAGTCACAGATCACTAGAAAGCAGACCAACACCCATCTTTTCAGGCAGTCACAATGCATTTTCAAGGTCTACATCAGATTTCAAATGATGGCTACTACACCAGCCTAAAAGAACTGCTTCAAAAGAGCTAACCCACCACAATTTGTCTGAATGGCACAATAAAGTTTAAAGGTGAAAGCACCTTTAGATTTAAAAAGAAGAATGAAGATATAGATCTACTGTACTGTTCTGTCAAATATACAAACACTAGCTTGGTATTGCACTCTTTAGAGTGCAGTGATACATACACATAGAACATATGTGTGTAAAGACACAGGCAAAAGACACAGAGAGGGACATAAACAGGAAGTTGAATAAATTTGCTGAAAGGTTACACTGATGTCTCCTGTCTGTTAAATACAGTAAATCGTGTTGCATAGAGCACCAATATGCATTTCCATTGTAACAACAGAAGGGGATAACTGCACTGGCCCTATTTTTCAGCACTTCATGACAAGCCCACAAAGAGATATTGCCCAACTCTACAAACTCAGCTCTATTTCTATCTTACAGTTTTTGTTTTAGGTTATGTAGAATATAGATGAACGCCACTGCTCTTATCAATCCCATTTTTAGACACTGCAGTAAAAAAGCTCTGATAAACCCTCTTCACCCTACCTGCCCAGCCACCCAACAGGCAGAGTTGGAGACCAATTGGTGAAGAAAATTGAACATCTACCACTTAAACAGCCAGATATTTTTTTGTTTTTCTCAGAGACAGCATAAAAAACACACATGAGCTGTTTGTGAAGTAATGATAATGCCAGCAACACACTTCACTCCAGCAAACAGTTAAATAATTAGATACTTTACCTCCTTGAGGCAGCCCATGAAATTATTACTGACTGGAGATCCAGGCAGGTCAGCAGTGCTGGGGCTTCCACCCACATAGAAGAAGTCATCAGAGCCCAACATGGTGTAGTCTTCCTGAGTGTAACCCGTGGTGGTCAGAATCCCATCCACTGATATTGTCACCTGACGGTGAGGAATGAACAGTGAGTGTGGAAATACAATGTGTTTCTTGAATTATTAGGATAGAAGGCAGCCTTGTATTTTAGAACTCACTCAGGTCTGTGTGAATTATAAATCGCACGGTTAGTGATATGTTAACATGTGTTCTGGATCAGACAGTAAAGATATAAAGAAAATTGGTCAGCCCATAATTTCTTTATGTTTTGATTTAAGATGATAGATATTGCTGGCGATTAAATCATTAATAGGTATAAAGGGTTAGTAAAATGTCAAAATAAAGGATTACTTCAGATTTAGACACTGACAAACATGCAACAATATTTATCTGCATGTTAATAATAATGCACAAACCGTGTGGTGTTACTGTTTTTATTTGATCTTCTTTTGTGTCTAATAATGTGAGGGAGGCAAGAAACTAATAAAGATGACAGAAGTAACATACAGGAGCAGGCACTCACAAATCAGCCTGTTCTCATTCCAAAACCATGGAATACTGCCGCTTTGTCAGTGATTTTGGTGTCAGATCACCTTTCACGGTGGTATGATATGCTGCTGGGTGGCATCAGTTTGTAACGTTGCTGGGTGGAATCTTTCTTGTTGCTATGACAGTACCAGACCGTACCTTTCCCAGTAGTATGACAAGCTGCTGAACGGCATCAGTTTTAAACGCTGCTGATAACGGCATAGGATAAAGAGCTAGAAAGTCCTGATAGGGTAGGTGGGAAGGGTGGAGGATGAGTCAAACAAACCCTGGACTTTCACACATGAGCCCGGTGTTCACATCCTGTATTAATGTAATGCCAAAGCATGATGTCTTTTTCTAAACCTAACCACATGGTTTTGTTGCCTAAGTCTAAACACGTGCTTTTGTTGTCTAAACCTAACCACATATTTTGTTACCTAAACCTAAACACGTGTTTTTGTTGTCTAAACCTAATCACATGCTTTTGTTGCCGAAACCTAACCACATGCTTTTGTTGCCTAAATCTAAACACGTGCCTTTGTTGTCTAAACCTAACCACTTGCGTTGGTTGCATAAACCTAATCATCTGCTTTTGTTTGCCTAAACCTAACCACATGCTTTTGTTGCCTAAACTTAACCACATGCTTTGGTTGCATAAACCTAACCACATGCTTTTGTTGTCTAAATCTAACCATGTGCTTTTGTTGCCTAAACCTAACCACATCATTTTGTTGCCTAAACCTAACCATGTGCTTTTGTTGATATTGGTATTGATGTTGGTTGATATTGGTCACAGCCTCCTGAAACATCAGCAGAGTACCTAGCGCATAACATGTAGATGTAACCAAAGGCCACTGATAAAGCAGTGATATATGACAATTTGGAATGAGAACACGTTGCACAGACCAAAGTCGAATGGGGCAGAGTTATTGTCTTACCACACAAAATTGAGGACACACACAAAATGGCAGAGTACACACCCACAGTTCAGGACATCAGTTTGGGAACAATATCATGTAATAAAGACCTCAAATCTTTGACAACATTGTCATTTGAAGTGGGAAGTAGAAGTATGAGTACTACTACTCTACATAACTACACAAAGTTGTTAGTGTTTGCTCAATGTTGATTAACCTCAAAGCTAAGATGTTTCTAATAAGATAATGGAACAGTAATAATAAGCCACCTATTAGATGCTTATAACATGCTGAAATAGCAATTACTTTTACTTGTAATATGTTAAGTACATTTTGCTGGTACTAGAGTGCCCCAAGAATGAGTTCTAAAACCCACAAATGAGTTAGCATTTTAGCACTCCAGTTTCCCTCGTCTCAAAGACAATGGGTTTTTTGAATGTTTTTTTGGTTAGATGTGTGACATGTCAGGTCTGATGTTAGCACACACTTAAGAGACTGTCATGTTTTGTTCTATGACATGGAATATGTCAGTAAATACCACACTGTGAATTTTGAAGCTTTTATGTCTTAAAAAGGGTAGTAGCTAACAAGTGGCCACACAAGACCACAGAACGTCATCACGCTGAATGTGACTTTTCATGCGACCATGGTATAATTCGCTTATAGTCCAGTATTAGCTTTTGACTTCTGGTGATTTTATTTAAGCTTCAAAAACCATTAAACAGATGTTCATTTGTGAAAATTATTGCGCTGAACAAAACATGTAAGTACCATTACAGTTTGCAGAGCTTATTTTCTGCAATAATTCAAAATCGAACAACAGCACATATTTCCGATCTTTGCTGAGCAACAGTTTTATCTAAAAGGATTTAAAGGCCTGTACCATATAGCTGCCTGTCCCAAATATAAGCCTGTTGAGTTCAGTGATTGAAGCAAGTAATAGCCCGGCCTACTAATAAAGGTTTTACTGTACATCGAATGGTGCTAAAAACAATGCATGGAGCAGATTAAAAAAAGAAAATATTTGGTACAGAAAATTTTAAAAGTTATATGCATCACTGCATGAACACAGAAAGAAGTAGTCAGAGCCCTGGTGGAAATGGTAGTTATCCAGTTTCTTACTGCAATGTGGGTTGTCTCTTATTTTCACTTGTGGGTAAGTTTGAATGAAAATGAGAGTCTGGTGTTAGGCCATGCATGTATAGTGCACAGGTCACAGCTGTCAAAGTTCTGGTGTGGATTTTGTTTCTCTTTTTTGATTTTCTGGCAGTTTTCACAGTACAATCACCAAAAAATGACAGGAAAGTTAGTAATGAAGCAGATTTGGTAAAACCCTGGGGTAGCTTAAGTTGAGTGACTAAAGAAGAGGACGAGACTGAAAAGGAGAGTAGAAAAGCAAATAAGTGGACCCAGTGAATGATAGAAGTAAAAGAAAAAAGTAAACATGAAGCTGGGAAATACAAAACCCAGTGTGTGTGTGCGTGCGTGCGTGCGTGCGTGCGTGTGTATGTATGTACATCACTACATCAAGATGCATTGATGTACTGATGACATCAAGATGGTTTGATGTACTGAAGTCCAGAGCTAAGGGCAGTGCACAGCAAACAAAAATTGACAATAACAATGATATCTACCATACAATGGAGTGTGTTTACCAGAGCACGTCCAATGCCTGTTTGCTTTGCAGAGAGGTGGGGTAGATGAGAAATGAATTCATACAAGTGAACAGTGGGTTGGTTAATACATTTAAGTAAATCAAATGAAAATAAATGATGACAAGTGAGGAAGTTAGTATACATGATAGTAAAGCAATGGTTGATTTCATTCCTTAAGTCACTACTCACAGACAATGGTATAGTTTAACAGGTGGAAACAGAGGCACGGTTAAAAAGATTTGACTTTGACATCCTCACTGAGTTGAAAAGATGATTCTCCTAACAGCTGAGCTCTACAGTGCAGCGTGAAAATAAGAGAGCGTAAATGTGAAAAATTATTGGCTGCACCGGTGCCATTGACTGTACAGTATTTCTAATATCTATTTTTTTCCTATATTGAAGCAACCCCTGATATGGAAATCATTTTATTAAGAATGATTTAACCACCCTAAACATGTGTGTTTAATCTGCAGGTAGTAAAGATGTCACAAATCCATCTGTCAGCTCGCTATTAGCAGTAGTAATGTGGCAGGTTTGGGGTAGGCTTAGTTACTAGAAACATTAAATTAGATTAGATTAGATTAACTTTATTGTCCACCTTAGTGGAAAATTGTCTTTGGCTCCTCCAACATTAAGTTACATTACAAACAAAGTCACAAGACACTTCCCACCATACATCACAAAAAAATTGTGCAAATAGACAAGAAATACCAGCAGATGAATGGTATAGCAGGTGACAATATGAACAAGATAAAACACTTAAAATTCTTTGCATATGCACATATCAAAATAACAAATGTCAGAAAGTGATAAAGCAGAATCCTGAGTAAGTAATTAAAAAATTACAGAAACACTGTGTGCAGTAGTTCACCTTCAACCTCTCTCTCTCTCTCTCTCTCTCTCTCTCTCTCTCACTCACACTCACACTCACACTCACACACACACACACACACACACACACACAAAGACACACATGCCACAGCGATCAGTTCATGCCTCAAACTGTGTCTGTCCTCAGTCCAAGGGCGTAGGAACTGTCCCCTCCAATATTGGAGACAGGCGCATTTGTCCCACCCAAATATTTACGGCGGAGGAGAAAAAGTATTTGATTTTGAAATCTGTAACGAACTTGCTTGACTGTCATGATATGTCAGCTTCATTAAAAGCATAGCTGCAAATTAACGCAAAAATAGATGTAAAAACACACAGAAACAATACATGTGTGACAAGTTCCCTAATTTAATCTTAACAATTTTCCAAATTCATTTCCTCTTTTCCAATTTCTCATTTTATTTTATGGAAGTGATCAATTCAAGTGCACTTGTCCTTTAAACTTGATATTAAAAATGAAAGCTAACAAAATAAAAGACATCTGGTACATTGGTTACAGGCGTATCAGTTTGTAGAACAAGTTCGTAGAAGTTTTGAACAGTTAGAACAAGAGGCTGCACTGCAACGTGCAAATCACTCCTTCTCATGGCTGCTTGTGCTTTCCATGTCCTTGCGGCTGCAACTTGCGCTCTCTTCTCTTCTTCAAACTACAACACTCATAATTCATGTAGGAACTGCTGCAGCCAATGTGCAGCCAGCGGGAGCTGCAGGACCACTCAACCACCATGATCAGTTTTTAATGTTTTATCAGCCAATAACTACTCCAGACTCTGCTCTAGTGTAATTTTTGGGACAATTAGGGCAGGATTCGGGATTCAGGACAACTGCTTGGATTCCGGGACTGTCCCGAATTTTTCGGGACGTCTGGTCACCCTATTTAAGATGAAACGACAGCAGAAGCTCAGTTTAAGAGCTTTCTTTTTTATGAGAAAGAAAAGAAAGAAAGGAAATATGAGTTGGTAATAGTTTTGCCCGGGAGGATAATCATATTTTCTGTCTAGACCTGTTGATGTTAAGCTGACGTTGTGATACAACATCTAACTTGTACACTCTTGCTAAGTAAACTTTAATGTTGTT